CTGGCATGTGCCCGCACACAGAAACCAAGAGTGCAAACTCCTAGGGTTTAGGGTATAGGGTTTAGGGTTGAAAATTTAGAGTTTAGGGTCAAAGTTCCAGACTTCAAGCCCTACATCCCCAAAAGCCCTACCTCATCAAACCCACATGAAAAATGCAACCCCTGCAACCCACCCAAACCCTATAAGCCCTCTAGTCCTAAGCTAACCCCCTGTCACCCGAAGCCCTACAACCGCACAACCCTCGAGGTCGAAACCCGAGAGCCTACATACCCTACATACCCTACAAACCCTACAAACCCTAGAAACCCTATAAACCCTGGATAAACCCGATAAACCCTGGAAACCCCATAAACCCTGTAAACCCTCTAAACCCGTTAAACCCTCTAAACCCTGTAAACCCTCCAAACCCTATGAACCCAAATCCGAGACCCGAGACCCTAGACCCCCTAGCCGAACAGGGCGTGGAGCTCATGAGCCAGATGTCGGCAGCCAGTGCCTTGGACTTCGGCTCTAAACCTTAAACCTTAAACCCTAAACCCCAAACCTAAACCCTGAACCCGAAACCCTAAACCAATGCGGCCGCACGACCCCCAAAACCCTAAACCCTCGAAGCCCTCAAAGTTTCTGAACATAACCTAGGCCCCATAAACCCTACGAGCCGCCCTCTGACCTCCACTAACGACCTACAACGCCCTATACAGCCCTAGTTCTGATCACTGCTGCTGCTAAGAATAATGTTGTTGCCATTGCGATCTTTGCTGCTATCGATATTGTTTCTTATTCATTGCTGAAACATTCTGCAACCTGAGCCATAGCATGATTTTGGTAATCTCACGGCTGACTATTAGGATGACTTGTTGGGCCTTCTTACTAGTGATATGCTACACCCATATCTGTACGAGTTATTCTCGTTACTGTTACGATTATGATGGCATTACTGTAATTCTAGCTTTTCGTTAGCCCTACACCAAAATGCGTTGACTCTCCGCCTTCACAAAGCATTACAAAACGATCAATTCGACATGTGTTGCATACTCCCGTTAGCTTTCTGACATTCGAAATAGTGGAAAGTTAAACATCAGGGCGAGGGCGGTTCAGTTCAGGGTATACGCTTCTAGTGCTCCGTTGTATGAGCAGTGCCTCATGATTGATACGTCAGCGGTTAGCAGGGGGGAATCTAGTGTTAGGGGTGGTGCTTTTTCTTTTCTTTATTTGTTTTTTTTTTTTTTTGGGGGGGGGGGGGGGGGGGGGGGGGGGTTGAGGTGCTTCCGGGTTGCAGGGATTGGGGCGCAGGGCTTGGGGTTGAGGGTTTTGAGGGGTTAGAGGTTGGCTTGCGGTTTAGGGGTCAGGGTTTGGTGCTTTAGGCTCTCGGGTTGAACCCTAAACCCTAAACCCTAAACCCTAAACCCTAAACTCTAAACCCTAAACCCTAAACCCTAAACCCTAAACCCTAAACCCTAATCCCTAAAACCCTAAAACCCTAAAACCGTAAAACCGTAAAACCGTAAAACCCTAAACCCTAAACCCTAAACCCTAAACCCTAAACCCTAAACCCTAAACCCTAAACCCTAAACCCTAAACCCTAAACCCTAAACCCTAAACCCTAAACCCTAAAGCCTAAAGCCTAAAGCCTAAAGCCTAAAGCCTAAAGCCTAAACCCTAAAGCCTAAAGCCTAAACCCTAAACCCTAAACCCTAAACCCAAACCCTAAACCCTAAAGCCTACACCCCCCAAAACGTCCATTGGCACCCATGGCGCATCCAACTCCTGGTGGCGTAGGCATTCCTCGTCGCAGTCGCAAGAGATCGGATGGGGTCAGTTTCTTGGCTTTCGGGGGCCAAAGAAGCCAGCCGAACTCGCAAAAACAAAGCCCGAAGCACGTGAGTTGAAAGAAAACCCGTGCAGCCTGGAGACTCAACCCCACCCCCCTCAATTCCTGAAATCCAAAAACTCGAAGGCCGTCCTAAACCCTAACCTACTTGTTCTTGGAAAGGACACAGCGCTTTCCAGGAGGGGCGCAACGGAGCCAAAAGAATTCTGCCACCCCTAAAACCTCAAACGTTGCCTGTGCTCGGACAACATGTGCGCTCGCGAACACGACATCGGCGCGCTCTTCGTAGGGAATGAAGGAATGAAGTACCCTACACAATCCCGAAAAAAGGCCCAGCTCATAGGCCCTAGCGGCTTCAAGAGGTGAGTTTGTAGGTAGAATGCTGAATACCCTGATGATAAGGGTACTGAACCGGCTAGTAACGAGTAGAAGGCTTGGTTGGGAAAACGACCCACCTGCAACGGACCGGAAGCTCTAAACTCACCCCAAACCCTAAACCATACATCCTAACCCCTGAACCCTAGGAATCTATAAGCCCTAAACCTTGAATACTCGGATTTGGGTATCTATATATATATATTATATATATATATATATATGTATATATATATATATATATATATAAACAGGGTCCCTCGTGTGGCGTGTCCGGCCCCCCCCCCCCCCGTGCCTTGGACGCTTAACGTCTATTCTGCGCGTGCTCTTTGTTTTCTTGGATTCTTCCCGAAACAAATTCTGAAATTGGGTTCTCGTTTGAGGCGTTCTATCGGACCGCTTCTTGGAGGAGTTTTGACGTGAGGCCGCGGGGACGACACGGTCAAGGGAGAGGGTTCGGAACATTTTGCTGGGAGAGGGGCGTGGCGGGGAGCGTGACATTCCCTTGATGGGCAGGGGAGTGGGGACACGTGGATGTTCCTCCGTGCCCTCCGCGTTTGCAAGCCCTCCGCGCCCTCCGCGCCTCCGCGCCCTCCGCGCCCTCCGCGACCTCCGCGCCCTCCGCGCCCTCCGCGCCCTCCGCGCGCTCCGCGCTCTCCGCGCCCTCCGCGACCTCCGCGCCCTCCGCGCCCTCCGCGCCCTCCGCGCCCTCCGCGCGCTCCGCGCCCTGCGCGTCCTCCGCGCCCTCCACGCCCTTCCCGCCCTCCGCATGCTCCCCGCCCTCCGCGCGCTCCGCGCCCTCCGCGCCCTCCGCGCCCTCCGCGCCTTCCGCGCCCTCCGCGCCCTCCGCATGCACCCTCCGCGCCCTCCGCGCCCTCCGCGCCCTCCGTGCGCTCCGCACCTTCCGCGCCCTCCGTGCCCTCCGCGCCCTCCGCGCCTTCCGCGCCCTCCGCGCCCTCCGCGCCCTTCGCGCGCTCCGCGCCCTCCGCACCCTCCGCGCCTTTCTCGTCCAGGACACAGTGTGCTGATGCTAAGGGCGCATTGCGTCTATTCTGCGGGTGCGTTGCGTCTATTCTGCGGGTGTTTCCTTTGTAAAGTATTTGTTTACAAGGCACGCACGTGCAGCATAGCCTTTAAGTGTCCATCTTACCCCCCCCCCCCCCCCCATGGTATGGTCAGGTGGGGGGGGGGGGGGCGACTGTGAGCACACCCTCGGCAAACCCCGTGTGTTGGGAGTGTTGCGCCTTCGGTTGAGGGAGCACGCCCTCGGGAAAACCCATGTGTGTGTGTGTGTGTGAGGCGTTTATCCCTCCCCCCCCCCCCTCCAGGTCTACGGTCTCTAACCCTAAACCCTAAACCCTTTCTAAACCCTTCAAACCCTAAACCCTAAACCAACCCTAAACCCTAAACCCTAAACCCTAAAACCCCCAAGCACACCACGGGGGGGGGGGGTTAACCCTAAACCCTAAACCCTTTCAAACCCTAAACTCTAAACCCTAAACCCTGAACCCTAAACCAACCCTAAGCCCGAAACCCTAAAACCAACCCCCAACCACAACCACACCACGGGGGGGGGGGGGGGGGTGTTAACCCTAAAACCCTTTCAAACCCTAAACCCTAAACACTAAACCATAAACAACCCGAACCCTAAAACCAACCCCAACCACACCACAAGGGGGGTTTCCAGACCATGGGTGGGGGGGGGGAGGGGGGGGCGGGGAGCACTGGACCATATATAGAGGGTCGGTCTTCAGGAAAGTCTCAATCGTCTTCTTCCGCCAGTCTGCGCACCCGAAGTTGTGGCAGTAAGCCTGTCTGGGGGCGCAAGAAAAGTGGGGTTTGAGGTTTGGGGTTTGTGGTTTGTGGTTTGGGGTTTGGGGTTTGGGGTTTACTTCAAAATTCATGGGTACTTGTTATTGAGGTTGCAAGTGCCCCAAATAAGGCAGTAACCATAGTTACCCTACCTATAAGTTCTATAATCCTACTTATAAGTACCCATGAAACCTCCAAGTAGGGCTTAGGGGCACCCGAGAGAAAACATCAGCACGACCATCTAATTGTTTAGCCTCATTCGAGAAAAAAGTTGTGGGCCCCATTCGACAAGGTCACTTCTCCAATTTATGGTCCCTTTTTGGGGTCCGCGTTTTAGAGCGGCCCCACTTACTTAGGGTACCCCCAAAAGGGACCCCAATTTTGAGAACTGACCGTGCACAGAAGAACCAATGCATGTGTGCACCACAGGACCCTCCTGACATTCGGCAGGCTAACAGGCAGCAGACAACACAAGCCGTGGTAAAACAAAGGCTTTAGGGTTTAGGGTTTAGGGCGGGTAGTTTCATGGTCCCTTAAGAAGGTCCCTGACCTCCTTTAAAGGGTTCTGAAGTATGGGCCCTTAATTTGTGTAGGGTACATAAGGGGTGTGTAAGGGGTCCCGTTTCATGAAAACTACCCTCAGGCTCTTGGCTCCTTTTCCGTACGAATTTGGATGCGGCATAACTAGTTGCAGCACCGGTGTTCCTAAGCCCATGATGCTGGACTCACCTGTTGAGGGGGCATCCTGCGGCCAGCGCCCGCAGTCGCACTGATCTGTGGGCTTAAACTAAACCCTAAACCCTAAACCCTAAACCCTAAACCCTAAACCCTAAACCCTAAACCCTAAACCCTAAACCCTAAACCTGAAAGTTCAGGGCTTTTAGTGTGCAGGGCTTATGGGGGGTTTGATTGGGCCAAGCTGGCCCAGAGGATGCAACCACTCTCCCTGCCTACTGAGCATTCTAGCTGCTCTTCCACAGACTCATGAGTTTCTCTGTTGGCACTGGCACCGCTCAGTCATAGACACCAAATCCTTCGCACGACTGCACCCAACTGCACGAGCAAGTCCACTCAGAATGTGCTTGTTGATCTCAATGTGTTGAGTCTGCACAACCCGAAGAAAGGTGGTCTCGGCCCTTGCCATCTGCTTTGGCTTCGCAGTCGAATACGCAAGCAGGAGTGCATACAGAAAGAAGTCGTTGATGCAAAGGCCCTCCCTCTCTAAGGTCTCACCCAAAATCTCCACTTCGTACCACATGCCATTCTTCGCAAATGCTCGGGCCAGTGATGTGTACGACACGATGTTTGGCCGGATCTTCTGCTTGCGCATGAGGGCAAAAACCGTCTGTGCACATTTGATGTTGCCCTTTCTGGCACAAACGCTCAACAAAGTGCTGTAGGCCATTGTATCTGCTTTCACGCCGAAGGCTTGCATGGCGTGCATGGCCTTGAGCGCACCACACAAGTCACCGGCCTTTGCATGTGCGTTCACCACAGCCGTGAAGGTGCGAACGCTCGGAGAGAAACCCTTCCTTGGCCGAGGAACTCGTGCGACGTGAACAGCTTTAGGACTCCGAGTGGTAGCCCTACGTGCACCCGACATCCTAACCCCCCCCCCCCCCCCCCCAAAAAAAAAAAGGAGAGAGAGAGAGAGAGAGAAGAAACACACGAGTACCACGAAGCAAAGGCTCTCCATCATGACATGGTGCCACTCAATCGCCTTAAGTGGCTGACCGGCTTTCGCGCACGCATCCATCCTTATTGAGGTGTAGAAACCCTAAACCCTAAGCCCTAAGCCCTAAGCCCTAAGCCCTAAACCCTAAACCCTAAACCCTTTTAGGGTTCATATAGTCCCCAAGGATCATGGCACCGAAGCTTACGATGGATGCCTCGACCCTGGCTGACTGCATCCGGTGCATGATCCTCTCGGCGCCCTCAACCTCTAAAGCAAGGTTTAGGGTTTAGGGTTTCGGGTTTAGGGTTTAGGGTTTGGGGTTTAGGGTTTCGGGTTTAGGGTTAGGGTTTAGGGTTTAGGGTTTAGGGTTTAGGGTTTAGGGTTTAGGCTTTTGGGGTTTAGGGTTGGGGGGAGGGGGTTTAGGGTTTGGGGTTGCGGGTGTAGTAGCCGGTTCGGACATACTACGTGCACATAGTGATGACATCTCAAAACATGCCTAGATAGAATCCTCTTCAGCTCAACAAAGGAACTAACAGACACCCCAAGAGCTTACCTAGACCCTCATACCCCTAAACCCTCAAGCCCGTAACCCCCTGAAACCATAAACAACCCCTAGGCCCCCCCAAACCCCCTGAACCTCCAAGCCTATGAAGAGCCCTAAACCCTAAACCCTAAACCCGAAACCCTAAACCCTAAACCCTAAACCCTAAACCCTAAACCCTGAACCCTGAACCCTAAACCCTAAACCTAAACCCTAAACCCCAAAACAAGACTCGCGTACTGTTTCTATAAGCTCAGTGGCATCCCCCATCTTTCCATAGGCGTCAATCAACATGGTGCATGCCACGGTCTGGGCTTGCCCTCGAGAGCCCTGCAACAACGGCGGCAGCAACAATTCCGCCGGACGTAGGTCGCCGGCCTTGCCATACCCAGAGGGTACTCTTGTGGATTCAAGTACTTCGGGGTTTAGGGTTTCGGGTACTATCATGGAATTTGGTTCCACAAAAAGCATACCGAATAGGGTTCTTGGGGTATCTGCTTCCAAGAACCCTAAACCCTCAACACTAAACCCTGAACCCTCACCCCTAAACCCTCTACTACTTTTGGACCCTCCAGGATACCCTGCTTAGAAGGCTCATAGGTACCTGTAGGTAAGGTTCGAAGTGTCCTGGACAAGGCTATGAATAGCCATACTTACCCCAAACTTAAGGACACATGAACCTCCAAGTAAGGTTTAGGGTTTAGGGTGAAGGGTTTAGGGTTCAGGGTTCAGGGTTTAGGGTTTAGGGTTTGGGGTTTGGGGTTTGGGGTTTGGGGTTTGGGGTTTAGAGGGCCTTGCAATATTTGGCAAGCAATGCCAGGTAGCAGGTTTCAGTGGGCTGGTGCCCGTTGGCTCTCATTCTGCGGAGCCTAGGATGGCCATGAAAGCCCTCCGAGAAAAAACTGAATATGATTAGGGTTTAGGGTTTAGGGTTCAGGTTTTAGGGTTTAGGTTTTAGGGTTTAGGGTCTAGGGTTCAGCGTTAACATGACTCTTTTAAGCCGAATAACGGAAAACTGTAAACATGTCCCAAACGGCCTGGCCAGCAGCCACTGCTCAGCAGCTGGCATATTTCCTTCCTTGATCCAGGCATGAAGGATCAATTCCTGGGCTGTCTTTTAGGGGAACTTAGAATGAAGTTACCAGGTCTTTTGCTTTTAGTAGTTTAGGGTTTAGGGTTTTGGGTACGAAGGAAGCTCGACTTTGTACTGCATGTCCATAGATTGTGGCAACTTAATTACGTACCTCAACAGCCCGGCATCGTATGTCGTGGAGCTTGCAGAGAAGCCAGCCCACAGCATGCGCTCGAAGCACTCTTCGGCTTTCCTGCATTTCCGATTCTGTACAGCAACCTGGACAGTCCTTGGCCGAGCTGTCTCGGGTTCATAGGGAGTATGGGGAGTAGAGATCTATCTGAATCTGGGTTTGTCCGCCATACGCGGCGACACACTTACTCGAGCTACAGACACATGCAGCTTCGTCATCATCATCTGCCAGGTTTCCGCAGCAGGTCCTCTTGCTGCAAACTGCCCATGGCACCCTTCGGCTTACCTGTCATATCATGGCCACGGAGTCCTTGTGAATCGTCTGCCATGAGCAGTTGGTTCAGGTACATGTTGCGTCCCAAGTGCCATGGACCCTGTGCCGTGAGAATGAGCCAGCGCTGCAAGGAGGATACTGCCAGTCCCAGTCCAGCAGGGAGAAATGACATGGCCCATGTGAAGCCACCGCGACAAGAAGCAAGCACGGCAGGCTGCTGGGTCATGTCCATGGTCAGCTTTCCTTCGCAAGGCAAGAAGGCTTTAACAAGCACCCGCACATTCCTAAGCCCTTCAAACCTTATAACCCGATGTCAAACCCTTTTTCAATCTGTGTGAACCCCCATTTATCCCCTTAAAAGTTGACAAATGCTCAACATCCTTAAAACAAAGAACCAGCTGTGCCATGGCGTGGCGAAGTTTCCAAGAGCCATACCCACGCTCGCGGCCAGAATCTCCATGATGTAAAGCTCAACACCTAGACATGTTGGCTGTAAACTTGGGGGGCCTAATCTTGGCCCAAAGCCCCACACTTGCCATAAACTTGCCCTAAACCCGAAACTCATTGGGGACCGAGAAAAGGATGAGGGTTTTGGGTTTACGGCTTAAGGGGCAGAATACGTACGAATTTAATTTACTAGGATCTGATGACCAAACCCAAGCTCTAGGAGCTAATCACAACTATTCTCATATGCCTGTACAGGTATGATATATATATATAATGTATATTATATATATATATATATTATGTATATATATATATGTATAGGGTTCCTTAAGCGAACCCTAAACCCCCTAAACCCTAAACCCTAAAACCCTAGACCCTAAAACCCGAAACCCTAAACCCGAGCCATGGAGCTTTGAAGGGTGTCGCGGGCCAGGCATACTTCGCAGGTTTGGAAGGTCTAGGGTTTAGGTTTTAAGGTTTAGGGTTTAGGGTTTAGGGTGTAGGGTTTAGGGTTTAGGGTTTAGGGTTTAGGGTTTAGGGTGTAGGGTTTAGGATTTAGGGTTTAGGGTGTAGGGTTTAGGGTTTAGGGAGTTAAGGGTCTCGAAAACAAACAACCAAAGCACCATTGGCCTTAACACCCCCTACCCCCCCCCCCCCCCCCCCCCCCCCAAAAAAATAAAAAAACAAGGCAATATTCCCTTGATCACCGTTATGAGGAAGAATGCTTTCCATTTTTGTTGTGGGGGGGGTTACGTGAAGAATAGCAAACCCTACCCGAAACTCTAAGACCTAAACAAACTAGTTGGGTTCAACACTTCAGACAGTGAAGACACATCCGCCATCCAGCGCCACCAGGACCGCCACAAAAGCCACTACCAGCATTGAAGGCCACATGCTCGACGGTGGCATAACTTTGGGCGACAGGTCCTCCACAAGCCACCCCTCTGAACCCGAAACATTCTGAACCCTAATCCGGAAAGCCCAAAAACCCTAAACCGTAAACCCTAAACCCTAAACTCTCTCAGAACCCTAAACCCTAAACTCTCGGCCTCAGTGGAAGAGGACTCGCGGTTCCAAAGGGTGTTCAGCTTCTACTAAGCTGCCAGCTTTGAGCCAGGGCCAGGTAGCTCTTATTCTTAGTACAGACTAAACCCCAAGCCTTAACCCTAAACCCTCAACCTTAACCCTAAACCTGATCCCTTCATGGAAACTACCAGGCGTATAAATGGCACCCAGTTTAGGGAGCCTCTTTCGGGGCTTAGACATCCGAAGCCCAAAACTTTAAACCCTAAACCCTCTACAAAGCCCCTTCAAGGGAGATCAAGGGAGATCTTGGAGGATGTAAGGTGCCTCATTGCCCATGTCTCCATGGTGGCCCACACCCGTAGTGCAGCCGGAGTAAGCGCTCGCAACAAATTGGGTGTTTTTGGCTGAAGGTTTCCCTAAACCCTAAACCCTAAACCCTAAACCCTCAACCCTCAACCCTAAACCCTAAACCCTAAACCCTCTACAGCAGGATCCAAGAGCGGGTGCGACCCTAAGGCCTCAAGCCTATTTCCCCATCGCCGGAAGTGGGCAAACTGTAGAAAGAGCATGGCTTCTGTACCCTCAGTGCCCTTTTGGCATTTTCGGGAGACCTCCAAAACCCTATACCCCGTTGCTTACAAGTAGGGTTTAGGGCTTAGGCACCCACTGCCCTGCAGCTCGACATAGGTGGCCTTCTCGCACAACTCGGACACGTCAAAGGCCGCCACGATGGTCACCTGGAGCTTCTGCAGGGTTTAGGGCAGGGTAATATACACACTAACTACAACCCCCCAATTAGAACCCTATAAACAAACCTTTAAAAGTCCCATACACAACCCTAAACATGCCCTTTTAAATAAACCCGATAAACGCCCTAAACCCTCCTCAAAGGATGTCACAACGAATGCTTCCCAAAAAACCATAAACACGCTAAACCCCGTGCACGAGGATGGTTAACGAATGCTTCCTGTAAAGCACCCTGGAAAAACCCACGTGCATGGGGTTCCTGTGAAGGGTTCAGAAGGCATCTCGAGTTTCGTGCCTCAAGCGGCCCTTTCTGGCACGACTACTTCACAGCCACAGCCTGCTCTACAGGCCTTGTGGCAATCCTATGTAGAGCCTCTCCCACTACTGACAGCGGGCGTAGATCGCACTCACCGGCTGTAGGTGGCAGCTGTGCTACGTGCAGCTGCACTTATCGAGGGGAAAGGACCTTCCCAAGGAAGGCCCTTTTCCGTCCACAAGTACGTCTGCACCTAGCACAGCTGCAACCTACGCAATGTCACCGTGCGGGCAATAACAACTGACGGGCTGCAAGTCATCCCTGTAAGACAGCAAAGCGCTGCTTGCCATGGCTCCGATCGCAGCATTGAAGCTGATCTCGTTGGGTTCAACCCTTGCGCACGGCATGTCGTGCAGAAGCAGCAGCGCTCGCTGCCACTGGGAGCCTTGACCACAGGCGCTGATCGCTGAGCTGAAGCTGATCACGTCGGGTGTGACCAGAGCTGCCCCTGTCATCTGAGACAGCAGGACCAATGCTATCTGCCACTGTCCGCTATTCTCACAGGCGCTGATGAGGGCATTGAAGCTTATCTGGTCGGGAGCACAGCGAACCTCTGACATTGACGCGAGGAGCTGCAGGGACTGCTCCCACTGCGCGCTCTTCTCGCAGGCGCTGATCGCGGCGCTGAAGCTTACTTCGTTCGGGGTAACCTGAATCCTGGACATCTGCCAGAACAATCCGAGCGCCACCTGCCACTCCGCGCTCTTCTCGCAAGCAGTGATCGCCGCACTGAAGCCGAATAAGTTTGGAGAAGCTTTGGATGCAAGCATTTGAGCAAGCAGGCAAACTGCTACTTGCCACTGCGTGCCCGCAGCACAGGCGCTGATGGCTGCGCTGTAGCTGTAAGCGTTTGGTGTGGTTCGCTTCGACAACATCTCCGACAAAAGGCTCAGCCCAATCTGCCATTGACCATCTCTCTGACAAGCGCTTACGGCTGAGCTGTAAATGATTACGTTTGGCAGCAACTTGGCTGCAGTCATCTCAGGAAGCAGCCTCAATGCCAGTTGCCATTGGGAACCCGTCTCAAAAGCTGTGATCACGGCTCCGTAGCTAACAACAGTCGGCCAAACTTTGTCACTCTTCATTTTCGCGAAAAGCAATGCTGAGATTTGCCAGCGCATGGCATCTCCACAGCATGTGATAGCAGAATTGAAGCTCACGCTGCTCGGCATGAGCCCCGCTGATGGCATGTGTGCAAAGAGGCTCAACGCGATCTTCCAAGTTGAGGCTCCTTTGCAGGAACTGATGGCTGCATTCAGACTTATTTCGTTGGCTTCCACGCGGGCAAGTGGCATGGCCGACAACAAGTGCAGTGCCTGCTGCCACTGCCCTTGCTTCTCACATGCACTTATGGCTGCGCTGTAGCTGTACACGTTGGGGTCCGCCCGGGCTGCAGGCATCTGCGCCAGCAGATGCAGTGCCAGCTGCCACTGCATGCCTTTCTCACAAGCGCTGATGGCCGCGCTGAAGCTAAACACAGTCGGCGACACCCGCGCCGCTGGCATCTGTGCCAGCAGTTGAACGGCCACCTGCCACTGCTGAGATCTTCCGCATGTGTTGATCGCCCTGCACCAAAAACGCTCGTCGTTCGCACCCGACCGTGCTTCCAAGACCTCGATGTCGGTCTGCCACATGTCTACCCTCAACCCTAAACCCTCGAAGCCTCAGCCCTACCTAGACGCCCAAGCGCAGTTTCTTGTCTGGAGTACCTAATTACCCTAAACCCTAAACCCTAAACCCTAAACCATATAGTGCGGAATTATGTACCACAATATGGGGCAGCGAGGGCCCGCAAGTCTGCATTGGAAGCAGGGTCGGAATCCAGATTTGAGTATGGAGGTTGGCTCAGGGTTTTTAGCTTAAGAGTTTAGTTGCTTCAGCCGTACATAGCCCCTAACCCTTAAACCCTCAACCCTCAACCCTCAACCCTAAACCCTAAACCCTAAACCCAGAGACAGGTCCGGGGTTCGAGACAAGAATGCTTTAGGGTGAAGAGTCCACGGACATCCCGGGGGAGCATTCCGCAAAGCGCCATCTGAGCCCATGCCTGCGGTTTACGGTTTAGGGTTTGGGTTTAGGGTTCAGGGTTAAACCTAAACCCTAAAGGCCATGAGCTCCTGTATCAGGGCTTTAGGGTTTAAGGGTTTCAGGGGCTCATCTTCTTCTTCATAAAGTAGGGTTTAAGGTTTAGGGTTCAGGGTTCAGGGTTTAGGCTTTAGGGTTTGGAGACGTCTGGGGACTCCTTGTGGGAAAGCCAATATTTTGACGTTTACTTGGAGGTTCATGGTACTCTATCGATCAGCCCAATAGAAACCCTAAACCCTAAACCCTAAACCCTAAACCCTAATCCCTAAACCCTAAACCCTAAACCTTGAAAACCCGCAAATCCTACCAACCCTCCCAGTAGGAGGGTTTAGGGGTTTAGGGTTTCAAAACCCCTAATTAAACCCTAAACCCTAAACCCTAAAACCTAAGAACCAAACCCCAAACCCCGAACCCCGAACCCCTAAACCCTAAACCCTAAACCCTAAACCCTAAACCCTAAACCCTAAACCCTAAACCCTAAACCCTAAACCCTAAACCCTAAACCCCACCTGGAGCTGGCTGCGCGTGCACGCTGCACGCATGCCGCCGATGCCGGCGAAGAACTCCACGACACGAAGGGGCCCACGCCCTTTCAGGGTTTAGAGTTTAGGGTTTAGGGTTTAGGGAAGTAGAGTATGTTAGGGTAGAGTATGTTAGGGATTGGGGCTTTGAGTTTAGTTAGGGTTTAGGGCTTAGGGCATTAGCGTATATATTAGGGTTTCAGGGTACTAGGGCCACTGCCTGTACGCAGAGGGTCCGTAGTGCCATTACAGTAGGAATTAGGGTGTTGTGCTTAGGGTTTTAGGGGTCTGCGGGGTTTAGGGTTTCGGGTTAAACCCTATAACCTGAAAACCTAAACCCTAAGTCCTAAACTAATCCTTGGGGAGGCCCCTATCATCGCAAAACCAACAGATGTTAGGCTTATGAAAAAAAGCAGGCCTCTTTTAGTTGTTTAACACCCCGAACTTGGGATGCTGCACCTTATACTCAGTCCTCAGGGATTATGCTAGGGGGTACTATCATCCCAATGAAGGACTGTTAGTATAAGGGAGATCATCCCAACCTTAACCCTAAACCCTAAACCCTGAACCTCAAACACTGAACTCACTAAACCATGTGCAGGTGCCTGCATCTGCGCATTCCCCTGCCTCCATGGCGCTGCTGCTCTGATTGAGTTTAGGGTGTAGGGTTTAGGGTTCAGGGTTTGGGGTTTGGGGTTTAGGGTTTCGGGTTGAGAGTTTAGGGTTTAGGGTTTAGGGGGCACGGGGTAATCATGGTAGGATCCCAGGCTTCTGGCAAGAATGGCAATCTCGGGACGTGCACTAGGCTCGCTCTCGAGCTGTGGATAAGTGCTTCTGGACGAAGCTTTCAAGGTCCCTAAACCTTGCGTCAGTTCAGGTAAACAAAGACCAGGGAACAGCGTTTTTCTTTCTACATGTAGGCCCTCAGAAAAGTGCTTCCGAATTAAGTTTGACCCAGACGGCTCTGTCAAAAACAGCGGGGACTTGAGTCTGCAGTGCGCAAGCCCTAAACCCTAAACCCTAAACCCTAAACCCTAAACCCTAAACCCTAAACCCTAAACCCTAAACCCTAAACCCTAAACCCTAAACCCTAAACCCTGGGGGGGGGGGGGAGCCATGCCTCCGGAGACAAACACTTCGAAGCAATGGAAGGAGTTGAGCTACCGAGAGACCCCCTGGGAGGATCCAAACCGTAGATCCCCTTAAGGGTTCTT